GGGGGCGCGCGCGCCCCGGGTCCCGCGCCGCCTGCCCCGCCGCGAGCTCGCTTGCAGCCCGACGGCACATGTGTTTCTGTTTTGTGTTGTAGCATTTGTTCTGGAAGCTCGTATTTACATTTTAAGTGTATCTGGTGAGTGGGCAGCAGCCCTTGTCTAGGCCGGGAAAGAAAAAGCAAGCCCTCCGGGTCGGCTTTGAATTGTTCCTCTTTCATTTTTTTCACCGGTTTCTCATCACTCCAGCCAGGTAGGGGCTGAAAATCGACAGCGATCAGTTTGTGGGGTCTGGGAAAGTTTGTTTTTCTCTCCCCTCTTCTTCTTTCCCTCCCTCTTTCTTTCTTTAAAAGAGATATTAAAAGGGGGGGGGAACCCGAGGAAGGGGGCTGGGGGATTGAATGAATAAAAAGGGGAAGGAAGGCGGATCCACGTGGTTTAATCGGAGACAGACAGAGATCCCATTGTTCAAAATCAATAATAAAAAAAAAAAGGCAGACAGGGCGAAAGCTAGGGGACGCTGGGGGGCAATGAGCCGCGGAGCCGGCCACTTTGCAAGCCTGGTGGAGGAAATCGGGCCAGCCTGTACGTTCCGAGGAAGGGTCAGGAGAGAGTTGGACATCGCTAAAGTTTATTTTTCCTATCTTCCTGAGCAGGTGTTTGGGCCTGGGGGGCGGTTTATTCTGGGCTCTCCCTTCTTGACTGTATTTGCAAGGGTTAGCCCATCCCGAAGGATTTGGCTTATTAAGAGCCGGAGGTTGGAAACTCCGGGGCCGAGGCTCGGGCCAGCGCGGAAGTGGGGGGCAGGGAGGTGAGGATTGTATTTAATTGAGTGGGCTGGGGAGGGGGGCGCAGAGACAAAAGCAGCAGGTGGGGTGGCCGGGGTGGAGGGAGCTCCGCCTTTACTAACGAGGTACCCAGTGGGGCTCTTGAAAGTGTGTTGGAGCTTTATTCAATTTAAAGGATCACGGGCTCCCTTTACTTTTCTGGCTACCAGGTTGCAATTGAGATTTAGGCAGACCTAACTTGAAGATGGGCCGGGGTGGCGGTAGTCTCCATTTTTTTTTTTCCCCCCCTTTTTCCTCCCTTTCCCCCAAAGGGCTTGCAGTTTGGGATTTCGGCGCTCACACGGGATTCCCCGGAGGAGCCGGCCGAGGCCGAGGGAGGGGCGCGATTTCCTCTCCCAGCTCGCCCCCTTCTCCGCCCACCCGCGGCCGCCACTTTGGGGCGGGCAGGGGAGGAAGTGGAGGCCGGGTGGCTCGTCCCCGCTCCCCTCCCCCCCGCGCAGTTTATAACCCGTCCATTGTGCGCCGCTGCCCCGTGTCTCCCTCCAGCCGCGACGATGCCCAGGAAGAAGGCGGCGGCCTGGGAAGAGCCGAGCTCGGGCAACGGCACGGCCCGCGCCGGGCCCAGGAAGCGCGGCGGCCCGGCGGGCAGGAAACGCGAGCGGCCGGAGCGCTGCAGTAGCAGCAGCGGCGCCGGCAGCAGCGGCGACGAGGACGGCCTGGAGCTCGACGGGGCCCCCGGTGGGGGCAAGCGCGCCGCGCGGCCGGCGGCCGGCAAGACGGGCAGCGCGGCGTTGGTCATCACCGAGCCCGAGCACACCAAGGAGCGCGTTGTGAGTGCAGCGCTGTTGCGGGGCCGGGGGCCGGGCGGGTGGCATCCCCGCAGGACAGTGGTTGGGGGACCCCTGGGTGCGGGGAGAGCCAGGCGCGGACTCGGGTCGGGGGCGGCCTGCGCGCGCCTCCCCAGGGCGGCCGGGCCGGCGCAGGCCGCGGGCTGAATCAT